ATGCGCACTCAAAACAGCTGCGCAAGAGGATGGGTTTGGGGTGGCTTGCCAGAATAAAGGATAAAGGAAGAATATTCAACAGCTACGGTGGTGCTGGCTGACTGCAGACAAAAAAAAGGATCTTGTACATTTGTGTGATAAAACAGATTTGTTTTGAAGAAATATTAAAGCTATTCATTGATGTGATACCCTAGAAATGGAACCTAGTGAAAAGGACTAGAGAAACTAATTTTAAAAAGGGCTTAACCTGAAAACGTACCTCTCAGGTCTGCAGGTAGCCATACTAGTCTGAGAAGACTAGCACATGCAGAAAAGTTTGAGAAGCATAAGCATCATGCACATAGCCAGGATGAGCCTCTGAACTTCATGAACAAAGGGATTCTTAAGCTTCATTTTGCACCATAACATAAGCGCATACAAAAGACTGTAATTAATAAATCACACTCTCTGAATCAGAAGTACTTTCCGAGAGCCGTTTCTCAGGAATATTAAAGCGCTTGCCTCTGAATCACAGTGGTTACTGGGAATTGTGCTGGATAATCAGAGAAGAAACAAGTTCTTTCATATTTCCACAAGTGGGGATATAATTTTTTGGCTGCAAGAAAAAAGAAAGCCAGTTTCATAACTATTGCAACAATTAGAGGCAATGCTCCGAACTCACCTCAGAACCTGGTACCTGGTGGTACAACCTGCCCTCTGGAAAAACACCCTTTAGAAAAGACAACAGTTTCAAAGAGTTTTCTAATGAATCTGTCTAAGCAAGGAAGCTGTTAGCTTCTTTCGTCTTCATGAGAAGGCCGTTATGGTTGATACACGTTAGTATCCTGCCCTTTGCCAACACTGCCCGAGGCTCTAGAGACACGTAAGGCAACAACCTCCTCCACCATCAGGAAGCTGACAGACAGGACTCGGAGGCACCTTACGTTATACTGATTTGGCCTGGTAGGGTCTTGGGGATGCAAATTGCCTAGATGAATTCCTAATGATTGCCACCAAATACCTCTTTTTGGGTTTAGAAATTTGTTTTGTATTTGCTTTGGTTTTTTTGCCTTATGTTCTTAACTAAGGTTTCTTTTGGTTTATTTCTACCCATTCACTAACTCCCACAAGCAGATGGTTGCAAATCAGAAAGGCTTATGTGTGAATGGAGTAGCAAAGTGTGACAAACATATCATTCCTCAGTATTCAGCAACTTCAATGGCATTTGTGAATATGAAGATGATTAGAAAACCTAGGGAAGTATCTCTGTCAGTAGCTATTCATGCCTTTCACTGATCCACTTACCCTTTGAGAAACTGAAATAGTTACCAAGAAACAGCTAAAGAAAATAATAAAAGCAAAACAATACCAGCATAAATAAAATAATACACAGCATGCTATCAGCCTTTTCTTCCTCAGCTGTTTCCCACATCCCTTTACCTCTTTGTGCTTTGGGGCTCTTTATGTGATGAAGTGAAATTGCTCTTACATATCTAATTCAACACACCGGCTGAATACATTTGTGATTTCTGTTTTTAAAGAGCTGCACAATTCAGCTGTTGCCTGTTACAGGAGCCACTGTTGTCCATTTACTGACGTGCATATTTTCTGAAGAGACGTTTCAAAACGTCCTTCCCTCCGTACTGCCCATTTGCTTCACCAAAATTTAGCTTTTAGGTTCCCAGAAGTTCCTTGCAGGCAGCAGTTAATGACAATGAAAAAACTTCACCAGCACTGATGCACTCTTTCAGGGACAGAAAATATCTGCCATTTTAAAGGAGATCAAGTGGAGGCACCCGGGGAACAATGCTCATGTTCTCAAAGGTGTCCTCTACACTTCACGAACTTGAGTGTCCATCCTGTGACAGCCTGGGGGACAGCTCTTTGAAAGCACTGAGTAACACAGAAATCCAACTCTAAAGACTAAGTGCTCTACAACATGCCAAGACACCTAAAATGAGCTGCATCCAAAAATCAGAAGCTTAAATTTTCAAAGTCCACCCCACAACACTTCCTCAGAGTCACCCAGAAATTCAGTGTCCCTCTCTTCACTCTGGACCAAGTACCTTAACCATGTTTCAACGCACTTCCTACAATACACCATCAATTATAGGAGCACTTCTCCAAAACTTCTCCTAGAGAAGCTGGCAGCTCACGGCTTAGACAGGTGCACTCTGCACTGGGTCAAAAACTGGCTGGGCGGCCGGGCCCAGAGAGTTGTGGTGAATGGAGTTCAATCCAGTCGGCGGCCGGTCACGAGCGGTGTTCCCCAGGGCTCAGTTGTGGGGCCAGTCTTGTTCAATACCTTTATCAATGATCTGGACGAGGGGATCGAGTGCACCCTCAGTAAGTTTGCAGACGACACCAAGTTGGGCGGCAGTGTTGATCTGCTCGAGGGTAGGAAGGCTCTGCAGAGGGACCTGGACAGGCTGGATCAATGGGCCGAGGCCAACTGTATGAGATTCAACAAGGCCAAGTGCCGGGTCCTGCACTTCGGCCACAACAACCCCATGCAACGCTCCAGGCTTGGGGAAGAGTGGCTGGAAAGCTGCCTGGCGGAAAAGGACCTGGGGGTGCTGGTTGACAGCTGGCTGAACATGAGCTGGCAGTGTGCCCAGGTGGCCAAGAAGGCCAATGGCATCATGGCCTGTATCAGAAATAGTGTGGCCAGCAGGAGTAGGGAAGTGATCGTGCCCCTGTACTCGGCACTGGTGAGGCCGCACCTCGAATACTGTGTTCAGTTTCGGGCCCCTCACTACAAGAAGGACGTTGAGGTGTTAGAGCGTGTCCACAGAAGGGCAACGAGGCTGGTGAGGGGTCTGGAGAACAAGTCTTATGAGGAGTGGCTGAGGGAACTGGGGTTGTTTAGCCTGGAGAAAAGGAGGCTGAGGAGAGACCTCATCGCTCTCTACAACTACCTGAAAGGAGGTTGTAGCGAGGTGGGTGTCGGTCTCTTCTCCCAAGTAACTGGCGAAAGGACGAGAGGAAATGGCCTCAAGTTGCGCCAGGGGAGGTTTAGATTGGACGTGAGGAAAAATTTCTTTACTGAAAGAGTGGTTAAACATTGGAACAGGCTGCCCAGGGAAGTGGTTGAGTCACCATCCCTGGAGGTATTTAAAAGACGTGTAGATGAGGCGCTTAGGGACATGGTTTAGTAGGCATGGTGGTGTTGGGTTGACGGTTGGACTCAATGATCTTAGAGGACTTTTCAACCTTAATGATTCTATGATTCTATCACAACAGAGCGGCACCACCCAACAGATGGAACTGGGACCCACAACATGAGAGCAACACAACACCGTGCTAGATGTGAACACAGGAACCAAACATCTACACGGGAGAAACCAGGAGGTTAGACAGGATCTCCTCGGAGGCAAGTCCGAGTCACTTGCTGGGGAGGGAAATAGCCTGGGGATCCCACCAGGTGAGAGCACACAGGTCCTGGGTCACTCATGAAGGAGAGAGGAGATAGTCCTGGGACATCCTCCAAACTTTCACCCAGAGGGGATACTCCTAATCCCCAAGGACAGGAGTCTCAAAGCCATGGGAAAGGCAGAGAGAAGGCTGCCTCTCCAACCTGCCTATTCTTTAGCCTGCCATACAAGAAGAAGCCTTGAATGTGTGTTCAGGTTACACAGCACCTTCCCCTGCTGCCTACATGACAGGGATGGCCCAGAACCTGCTGTGCACGTGACAGTCTCGCTTCCAAATCTATGTGGCAGAGCTTACCAGAAACCCTTCCAAATGCTGGGGTTTGTCCTTTTCCTCAGCTATTGTGCAATTTATGAAGGATGGATGTCAATATTGCATGCTCACCCCCAGTGCATAAACTTCTTGCCAAGAAGCTCAGAGCCTTCTGAAATAGGAAGGCATAGTAGTATTTCCAAGATCACAAGCTCCTTGGTGGGGAACAAGGGGTAAGGGACTGAGCTCAACCATTATGCCCTCAGGCACCAGCTCAAAGTCCAGAAGGGGGAGAGGCACCAGCACGAATGAGAACGGAGCTTGTATTTGTCCAGACAGTTCTTCTTGCATATCCATGACGGTGTCATCATACAGAGCTTCATTTATATGTGAGATGGTTACCCTGGTCATTCTCCTTCTTGACAGAAAGGAGGTGAAGGAGAAGCGCTTAAAGCTCCCTGCTTACATGTAGCCTGGAAAAACAAAACCACCCAGCACATGTCCCCAGTTTGAACCATATGATTATGGATCAGACCTTTGAGCTGGTGTAAATCTACCTAGCTCTGATATTTAATGGGCCAGGGTGATTCATACCAGTTGAGGGATCTGGCACTCTCTCTCCTGTATCAATTCCAAACAGAGTCCATTTCAGTGGCTACCTAGAAAGCCATTTCTGGTCTGTCTCCAACCACCTGGGCAGAAGTTTTATTCATTAGACACTAAATTTATTTGTGCTGCCACCAGTTCATGGGCCACAAATCTCAGAATGTGCATATTTCATTTAATTTCTCTCCTGAGCCCTGTACAAAATGCAATGGGTTGCTATTCCTCCTAGCTTCTACTCATGCTGAGAATATTATTGTTTGATGCCAACAGCAAGCATTTCTGTGCTTTCTCTCTGTGAAAACACCCTCTCATTTTAAGTTAGACAACGAAGTTTTTCTGCTTATGTAACTAAATTTTATGATCAGATTAATCTTTTATGATACACTTCTACTAATACAGTTTACTGAATGAAGAGGTGAAGCAACGGGAAGATGCTGCCGTTGCCTTTGGAGCCTAGTTCACGGAGAGATCACGATAACAAAGAGGTGTTTATAATAACTCATAAATCTGCTTCTCCAAACCTCATAAACCTCCAAACCTGCTCTTGGATACAAGTACTGATGCTCATCATGAGTAATAACACCTCAGAGATTAAAAGACAATGAATAGGTAGAATATGCAACACAAGATTAATTTTGACTCATGCTGAGCCAGTTGGGAAAGTTCCACACAGTTCCCGCAGACTGAACCCCAGCACAGTCCCACTGACAAAAAGTCCAATTTTTAAAAGCCCACATTGTAGGTTTTCCACACTCACTTGGATATATTAAAAAAACCAAGATATATCACCTGCATTTTATGCTGTTGACCAGACAAACCCTATAGCCCACGGCTGACATTTTGGCAGTGAGGTGCTGGAACTAAGTGTCCCAGAAGAACACTAGAAAGTCTCCTTCCCTCGTTAGGAACGTGACAGAAAACAAGAATGTTCACCAGGACATTTTTTGATGCTATTGGGATTCATGAGAGAAATGGACAGAACAGCTTCACCTTTCTCTTTATGTGGATATTGCCTGTGCTGTTACTTGCAGAACTTGAAAAAAGACATTGCTCCTGCAATCTTGTCACACCACAATGGAGCAACAGTATGTGACAAAGAACACACACTGCAAGAACACATGCACAGATGAGGTTTATTAACTCTTACCTCCCAGTGAAGAAAATCATGCTTGCATTTAGCATATTGAGAACCCACCCAAGCATAACCTGTCAGCAGAGGAATGTTCATTTAGATCATCCTGCTGGCATCAGGGTTAGAGCAGAAAGATCTGATGTATGATGTATGTCCAACTAGTTACCCTCATTAAGCAATTAGACAACTCAAAATGCCCCCAAAAATGTACAGAGGAAACGCATAGCTACAGCAAACTGAATTCTCATTTTCTGCCTTCTCCAGGTGCGCTTAGGCTGGTAATCCAAAGAAATATGTTTGTGTGGTCTGCATGCGCCTGTTTGCAGCCTGATCTAACTTTGAAATTGGCCGGTGCTCTAAGCAGGCGGCTGGATCAGGTAACCTCTAGCAATCCCTTCCAGCCTGAATTATTCTAGGATTTGAGGTTGGAAATTAGAAGGTGCCTCGCAATCACAGGACTGATAGTTCTGAAATAACTTTCTAAAAAAAGTATGCAACTCGTTTGAAGAAGCAGTCTAATAATTTGTGAAACCAATCGTATAGCGAGGTTGCTTGCAAGGGATTAGACATTTGTACCATAAGGTTCCTTTCAATCCCACATTCTTAAACCCCCATAAGCTTTACCCTTACAGTTCTCCAGTTTAGAAAAACGCCGTCTTTGAAATCTGCAAGCACATCCAGGAGTTTGCCATGAATTATGCGTACTTCTTGAAAGATGTCTGCTTTATGCTTTGTTCTGACATATTTTGATCATGTTTTTTGTCACTACAACAGTTTGGAAATATTTTTTTATTTTTTGTTTAGATACATCCTACTGCACAGTTTCTATTCTCCAAATCAACTTCCCAACTCTTAGAATCATGTTTCTAATGTAAATATCACTTACAATTCATTCAAACTCATTCGTAACTTTTTTGCTATTATTCCATAATAATTTTTGCTTAACAGGAATTCTTGGCTTGTACTCCAGGACGTGAGCCCACATTTCAAATATGTACTTCAGCAAGTTTCTGAATCCACAAATATTGTCAGTTTGAATGCTTTAGAAGTTTTTAAAAACTAGTTGCTTTGTTTATTAATTCCGCTCAGTCACAGTGCATGTGTTATAATTGTATCACCAAATTTAAATATATTTTCTAAGCTTGCAACAACTGCAACCATCTCTATGAAACTCAGAAATAGGCACTGCCCACAGTTCATATATGCTTTGCTGGGTATTCCTTGTAGCTTTAAAATTAGCTAATTTACCAGTTAATAACAGTGAGGGACACCACCTTACCTGACAAAATGAGAAGCTCAATGATGTCTGCATCCCCCAGGAATGACGCAACGTGAAGAGGAGTTCGTTTCTCAGCATCCTGCAAAACCATAGATTGTCCAGTTATAAAACATGATCAATAACTGCAAGCGTTAGTGTTAAAGAGCAATAGATTTGTTTATAGTGTTTATTTGCCTATATGCATTTCTGTTTATAATCAGAAATGCAATCTCAACCAGTGAAAGAACAAAATTCAAGGTCTGAACAACACACTTCCTCCCAACAATCCTCAACTTTTTTATCAGTTGGTTCCACCAGACCTTGCAGAGCCACTGTCTTTACTCTGATATCCTGTTTACAGGTAGACCAAATCAAATCTAAAATTAGGAAAGATGTCATCCTTGGGTCTCTTTCAGAAACATTTTCCACTCTAAGTATTGCAGTGATGCAATTCAGATGCTTCTGGACACCAGAGTTTGTAATGCAGTTTGCATCAACAATATAACACCAGACTCTTCAGAAGGGTATCTCTGGAGAATGGTTTGGAACCACACACAAGGACAAGATGCAATCCTCTTAGTCTACAAAAGTTCTCCTACACCATTTAGCCTGGTTGTCTACAGCAGCCCAAAATGGGCTTGTACACCTTGATCGACCTTTAAACACAAATGAAGAAAATATTACCAGTCAGGTCTGTGTCTTTAAACTTAGAAGAATTGCTAACAATCATATATACAACTTCTGAAATACATCTACTTTTATTTGATTTCTGTAATTTTCAGCCTTAGGGAGTCACATTTTCAAGATTTTCTTTTCTAGCTTCAAGGGGTGTAAATACAGTGTTTACAAAAAAAACATTTCTTTTATTGCTTTATTCAGATGATTCCAGAACACAGGCCTTTAAAAGAAACTGATAAACATTGTAATATGGGCAACAAAAATCACAAGAACTGCTAATACTGCTAATCATGCTATTCGACCTGTTTCCAGTCCTAAATGTATTTCATTTCGGTTTCTTAACCTCTAATACAAAAAAAGTTCTAAGAGACTTATCAATCAAACTTATCAAATTACAACCTACCAGCATTAAATACTGTAAGCTGGTAGCAGATTCAACACTTCCTGCAAACGATACCAACACAGAAACCCCACTGGTATTTACACTCTACACTCTCTCCCTGAAACATGTCTCTGAGCCTGTCAAGTAAAATATCACTTTTAACATGCCCAAGAGGTCATCAACCGCAAGCTATTTTGGACTGTCTTCAAAGTATGCTGTAAATGTGGACAAATCACTGCAGCAGAACCATTTGTCATGTGAACGCTGAAAATTGTTTTCCAGCACTGCGAGGCACAGAGCCACTGGTCACCAGTATAAGTTACGTTTAATTTTTATATTTGTGTGTTTTTTCAAACATACGTGATGTATGTAGTCCTCAAATTCTGCTGCAGTGGGTTTTGACCTTACATATTGGGCATGCACACAAAACACTCAAAAGACAGATTATGTGACACCCTGGTTGTCACAGGTCAGAGGGAAAGACACCTTACAGAACTTCACCTCCTCACATGGTAGGCAAATTAAAGCAATATTAGGCAGTGTCCGTCCAGCAGTGTCTGCTCAGGAACCTAAACCACAAACTGGATTCTCTCCTATGCTCAGTTCCTAAAACATAATCCACCACGGACTAGCTTTTACAGGCTACTTGCGTGCATACGAGACCTTTCATAAGTATTGCTTCATATTACCTAACCTAAGGCTATCCATGGCAAAAAATATGCTAAGACTGATCAAACATTTGTACAAAAATAGAATCAGTTTGTTGGGGTTTTTTAGCTTGTTCATTTTAATGCATGAATCTCTCTTTAGTGCAATGTAGTATTTGTAATAGCTATCGTACCTGTCAGTGATAAATTTTGCCGCAGCTTCTTGCAACACAGCCAAGTCTGGCAACAGAACAGAGTAGTTTGAAGCTGAATGCTAACAATACAAGACCAAGCGATTTTCTGTATCAAGGAACCAAGGCTAGTCAGTGCTGTATTGATTATACATAATATTTTATACTAAACTGTAAATCTGATGGAAATTTGATAATTGAGGGAAGAAAGGACATGAAACAGAAAAGTAGAACTTTTATCCTTCTGTAACAGGAATAACTCTCTGTAAGTATTCTCAGCTTTTACTTTTTAAAATCAATGCAAAATCCTACCAAATTAAGTGAGAATCAAGTCTTCAGAGAAAGATGGGTTTAGTCGTGCAGCTGAATTTAAGCCTGATTTCTCCAAGAGGAAAAAACCCTAAAATTTCTCCATTTACCACAACCAGGCACAAATCAGAGTCCACCCTCCCATGAACTAGCAGACGACAAAACCCGATGTGTGGTATAGAAAATTGAAAACACACGAAAGAGCCCTACAGGCAACGTTCTCAGGAGTTTGGCAGGGAGAAGTCCGCTCACAACGCCTGCAGTTGAGCAACTCAATGGAGGAACATCCTCAAGTTCCTGTTTACATTCTGCACAAGGCTGACACAGAAACAGAGGAACTGGGGCATCTGCCTATCTGTCCAACCACACTCCTTGCGTCCTCCTCAAACCCATGTACCGCTTCAGCAAGACTTAAATAGCTCACTGGCTTTGCGTCTGGCCCACGCACTAACATCTATTCAGCTACAGATGTCCTTGTGGCATGATGGTAGTAAAGGGAGTACAAATAAGTAAATCAATAATGACCTAAAGACTGAAGGCTACAAACAGAGGGAGAGGAATAAAAAGAAAATTTGTCATTTCAGGTAAAGGTCTGGCAGTACCCCAAATCTGAACATACATTATCAAGGCAAGGAAAGGAGGTGGGGAGAAGAAATGACAACAGGATTACAAATAGCATGAAGATAAATAATCAGACCTGCTTCAAGTGCAGTTCTCAGAGGAACAAAAGGTCAGTAAGAGACAGTAGATAAGCTACACAATGGCTAGAAAATCATGCCGAGATGAGATAAACACTCTCGCCCCAAAACTGTATTAGTGACCTATATTAGTTCACAGAAAAGATGATGCTGCCTGTTAACATTATCTGTGCACTTTTTTTTTTTAAAGTACAGCTAAAGGAAATTAAGAATTAAAAAAAAAACAGGCAATCGAGGACAGAAGGCCTCAGCAAGAAAAACACCCAACACATGCTTAAACTGTTCAAGTGATCACAGTGACACTGATAAGGCCCTTCACAGGCTTAAAGTTAGGCTAGTCCTTAAGTGCTTTATTGGATCAGAGCCTTAGAGTACATGAAGATTAGCAGAACAGTGGCTCGGATGAATCATATCAGCATATGTAAAATATTCAGGCACATTAAGAAAAAGGCCAACAGTTTCTCCTCAACACAGCCTACATCTCAAAGGAGATAATGGATTTGAACTTTTATATCAACTGCAGCTGTTCAGATCAGAAGATGTTTGGGACAACGAAGTGCAACTGCTACAGAAAATAAATGTCTGTATCCTCTGTATGTCACCAAACTGTCTGAGCAGCCAACAGGAATAGTTCAGCGAAGAAAGAGTTAAGGCACTACCGAAACAGAGTTAATGAAGTTTGATTGGTAAGAAGTGTCTGGATTCCCAACACCTTCAAGGGCCAGCATCTTACCCGGGTGGCAGAATAAACTAAACTATATTAGAGGCACACGAAGGCCTACAACTTCCATTGATACCAGTCTAACCAAAACAATAACAGAAACAAACCTCCTGCTCATTAACTCCATTTACTGTTGTTACATCTGAGCACACCTTATTTAAACAGCACAAAGTAGCTGGTACCATTAAAAAACCCAAACATTCAGACACGACTTCAGGAAAATTAAATATTGGGAACTGGTTAGGAACTACTGAAGAGGCTAAAAGCAAATGAGCAGCTACTTCTTGGGCTATTTACAATCGTTCAGAGCCAAAAACTGTTGCTGTACAAAGAAAAGCTCTGCCGCTTCAGGATTTCCTCCCTTTCACAGATTCTTTTATTAAAGCATGTAATTCACAAAGCAAATGGAAATGCTTAACTGTGAGCACCAGCTGGGAGGTGAAAGTCAAGCTGTGTAACTTATGCCTGGTGCCCTTTCTTCTGCTATTACCAAGCACAGAAATTCCCGTCTGAAAACACAGATCCTGGTTGCAGCACTTCTCAACCCCACAGCCTTCAGTTTACAAAGAATTTTCTGGACTGAGTCTTTAATTGCCAAGTGCCCTTGAGGTGGAAGAGGCAAATACTCTGATCTTCTAGAGACAAAAAAAATTATCTTCCCTCTCCCCCCCATCTAACGCTTTCCTTCCACAAGGCTGACAGTAGCTTTCATGCTAGAAAAAGATAACTTGTAAAATTAATTACTAAGCCTAGATTGAGACTGTAGAAACTGTTATCCCAATTAATGGAAATATTTTAATGTTTATAGCAGTGAGTTTTCAATGTAAGGCTCAAAAGGTAGACTTAAGTAACTCCTCCATTTTTTTAAATGCAATATTGACTGGGGGGGATGGTGGGGGGGTGATGGCATGGGACCATACATCACTCGTGAGTTGATGGGAAAAGCAGATTTAGAAAATTCAAGTATTTCAGGCTGATGATGCTGCCTTTGAAGAAAATAAAGCAGCTACAGCCGAACCCTGCCATGAGCTTTTAATGGCCTATACGTCCTTACCGGTCTGAAACATTTTGAGGACACTGATAACATGAGTCACCAGCACCAGTATACTACCCACTAGTATACTAGCATGCTGTACAAAGCAACTTAGAATATTTCAGACTCTCAGTAAACTCCAGCAGAATCTTCTTCATAGCTCAAACATCTTCTTTATAAAATATAAAAAACTATGTTTATTTTCTAAAAGAAAAAATATTTATTCTAAATAAAAGTCATGCTGGTTACCTTGCATCGCAAACATCAATGCAATTTTATATTCAATTTCCTTACATAACTGAGAATTGTTCATAATTTCCTTCTGTAGAAAAAAGAATTCTCCATCATTTCCTATTTAAATTAACAGCATGTCAAACAGCACTACTAGAGGCTAAATACCCACTGAAAACACAGCTATTGCCTAGCACCAAACTGTCATACTGTGTCAAAGCAGAAGCCTTCCAAAGTTCTTGACTAAATCCTCCAGAAGACTTTCCAGCACAGCAGAACTACATCTAGAAGAGGAGCATTTTCTTCCAGGATAGCTTTATTCTCCTGCAAGGCTCCACAGTGCCAAAAAGAAAATCATCATTCCTTGGACGAGAGCAGAGACGAGGGTCTGGTGCCCAAGATTACTGAAATACCACATTACGGTCTCTCTTAGTCCCAAGTCAAAGTTGTCACTCCAAACTGAACGACAAGCTGTTTTTCACACTAGGTATCCCAAGCATGCAAAGCCTTTCAGACTCACAATCCTAAACGTTTGCGCACTTGTGCTCTCAAGCGCTCATACCACCTCAAAAAGCATGCTTAGCAATATTACAGAAATATATATAACTTTTGTGTGTGTGTGTGAAGACCTGGATAAAGCCTGAATCCTCCTAACAAAGGCAGTCCTGCAAATCTATGCCTTACCAAGTAGGATAATGAGAAAAAGAAGTAATAAACAGCATACATCCATGTCTCTCCATAAGGACTTCCTTCTTGCCCTCCTTATCCTGTAATAAACCACCCTCTAAATACATGGTCCTGCATGTAAGACCTTGCTATCTCTGCTGGTGCCACTGCCCCTTCCTCTGCAGACTTGCTCTGCAGCTAGAAACAGGCAGGCGATGCCCAGGGTCACTACACCTCGGCATGGCTCGACCCCATCCCCAGCCTGGCCCATCAGGAGTTACCGCAGCCCACCTAGATCTGCTGGCTCTGCAGCAGCTCTGCTTTAACGAAAACAAGCCAAATTCAGCCAAACAATTACCTTCTCCTAACCGATCTCGTTTTGGCGAAAGTGGGTGGGTGAGCATTTGCACAAGCAGCTCTTGACACCGACGAGCAGTGAGAAGAAGCAGCTTTTCCAGCTGGCAAAAGCATCGAGTAAAGAGGCTACGAGAATCAAGCTCAGAAGGCCGTATCAGCAAGCGTGCCCCAACAGCACAAACAGAAGCAACTAAGTTTTGGGAAAGCAGATGTTGCCTTCAACAGTCTCACTGGTGGGGTAAGATGGTATATTATTTACTTTCCCAAAAATATGAATGCAATAGAAGATATTCTGGGGACACCAAAGTTTTGCATATATTTTGTTTCTGAGGGTTCTATCCAAGAGAAAATGCAGGATTAGGGGATAAAGAGTAAAAACGGAGGGAAAGAAACTTCTGGTTTGGCTTGCAAACATCGCATTAGTTACGGGGAAGAATACTGGAACAGTTTTTTGCCTTTTTTGTTTGACTTTGAATATTTTGAAGGGATACTAAACTGGAAGACTGACATGAAAATGGAAATTTCACAGGAAGGATTTTGGTTTAGTAGAAAATCATGACATCGCACATAAGAACTGGACTCTGCAGAGGTAGGGTGCTGCACAGCTGCATGTATTACGAATCCCAGCTAACCAGGGGTTACCACTGGATCCAGAATAATCCCTAGATTCTGGGGGTCATTCCCTCACACTCTTCCCAAAATAAAAACAGCACCCAAAAAAATCCCCACCTACACACACATAGCACGATCACCCTGATATTTCTAAATGTACCAAACAGCAAGTGTAGAGGATGTCTACCTGAAACTAAGCTGGTGGTCTGGATGGTCCAACCCAATATCCCCAATGCCCTGGGAAAACCGGCTGCAGAACATTGGCCATAGGCAGACCACATTTCCCACGGAAATCGTGCGTATTCAGTGCTCAGTGGTAGAGAATCGCTCACCGCCAGCCAAGTGCAACGCTGTCCGTGCCCTCAGGGCGCAAAAGTAGCATCATGTTCTCCCAAAGCATAGCTAGGGACTGGAGAGGTCAAAGTGACAGTTACAGTGGCAGAATGAACTAAAACCACACCTCTAAGCCAAACAGTTACAGCTTTCACTTTGTTGCAAAACAGAAGTCACAATTATAGCAGCATCCAGAACGTAGCCATTTCCATCAACATACACTTCCCGGCTTGGAAAGACACTAATTATTTTACCAGACCAAAAAAAAAAAAAAAAGTAACCTTCTAAACGTCTGATTTGCTCTAAACCCTTTCCTCCGACATTAATTTTCTCTTAGGAAGGATGCATATACATCCCTAATTTTGCATAGTTTCTCCAAGTGCTTTTTTCTTCTGCCTTCCAAATACCTCTCTTGCTGCAGATTCCAAAAAACAATTTTTAGAACTTCAGAAATCCCCAAAGCTTGCTGCAAAAACAGAGTTTTATTTTGTTTCCCTGTCCTACCTATATTTGAACTATTCCAATATTAACACAGCTAACCAAAACGATCAACAAAGGACAAATCGCTGCCAAACAGTGTCAGAGTTTCCTCTCATGTGAGCCACCAAGCACTAGAGAAACGCTAACATGGAAGTAATTAAAAACACCCTTAAAATAGAAACGTAAGCACACGGTGCAGATTGCCAGCTCACAGCACAAGGGGGGAAAATGCTCTTTTGATCTTTCTTTAGTGACATTTTAAGCATTTGACACTTGTCTGCAATCACTATGCAGAACACAATCTTCAGAATCTGTGTTGACCGGTATTTTTCTAATTACTCCAAAGAACAGCTTTGGGTTTTGCTCCTGACAAAATAGGTGTTCAGGCAAAGCATTCTTGGATGGACTTTTAGCATCTAAACAGGATTCTGGGCAAGACCATTCAAGTTCAATGACTTTTTCTATTAAGTACTATGGTACTGATCTATAAAATACATATTCTTCATTTAATATCGCACCTGACAGTTGAGAGCATCTCCCTAGCGACCACCACTACCACACTTGCAGCCGAAGGATATAAAAACATTTGAGAAGCCTACAATAACCTTGTACGGGACATGCTATTTTGAAAAACCAACATGAAATACAGAGGAAATTTTAGGACTATCATGTTCATCTAGGTTGGGCTTTTTTTGTTTGGTTGGTTGGTTTTGGTTTTTTTCTTTGTTTTTTTAAGACCATCAGGGAAAACAAATAAGGAGGAAACTCAAAGGAGGTGATGCTTTAAGGAAGCACTTTTAGGAACTTATTTCAAGAAAACAACCAGGTACTGATAATCACAGGGAAAGCCTAACATCAACGTCGTCTTTGATCAGATTCCCCATTTAAAACAGCAGCAAGTCTTTCCTTCCACTTGACAGCAAACGGAGTGGAGCCCCAGTTAACCAGATTTGTAGGATCACTTCTCCAGTTCCTTTCGCAGCTCTGAACCAGATGGTTGGACCCCACTGCCTGCAAAAGCTGCAGTGCCAAGACTATACCAGACAAACTGCTGGAGGTAGCTATGAATAAACTGATGGCTTTATATCAGAGAAAGACATGAAGAAAAGGAAGGTTGATTCAATAGTCCAGGAAACACCTGGAAATCACCATTCTGCTTCTGCTTTATATTCTCACCACTTTCAGAGGCCACAGATTGTAGTCAGGACTGGCAGGGTTCATTTCTAACAGTACAGATTTAAGTTAAAATCAAAGAGGGAAAAAATCATCCCAACTTCTGCAAAAAGACCAAGTTCAAATGGAGATTTTTTTTCCCTGCCAAAACACTTTACTACTTGTTTACAGCTGCTTACCATTGTTCTCGCTAGAATAAGACAATCTGCAGAACAGCAATTCCTCCGTGGGCAAATCGTGGCCAAGATACTGCTTCCTTACTCTCACCGCTGAGACCTATAGTGAAGCTTTATTTCAAGTACAGTCAAATGCTGAATAACAACAGCTCCTGATCTTCATAAAAGGAAACTCTACAGAGAGTAAAAATATGCAGCTTTCAGCTGTTTTCATTCATTTTCTCAGTAAGAGAGGAAACAATGTCCCTGACTGACCTGCACATTTGGAATAATTACCATACCCTTAGAAAATTTAAAGTCACCTGCTGAAGATAATTATATTTCAGACTACTAATCAGGATTCCACTGAAGCCCCAAATCTCTAACTTCCAAGTGATTTCCATTCTGTTACGTGTTAATTATTAAGGACATGATTAATACTGTCATTGCAACAGTTCATAAGCACGGTGCTTACGTATCACAGGCACACAACATGCCAAGTCACATACCAAGGCGTTGACATCCTCAGTTTTGTAGATCAACATCCGTATCTCTTCTGGATCGCCACTGAAAATCGCTTGGACCAGTGGTGGCTGGAAAAAGAAAACAGAAGAAGCAGCGTTACAGGTTTGTTTGTTTTCTGTTTAAAAGGAGAGCATATTATTCCTGCTAACATTTACTAATGCTGCCCACAGACATTGTATGACCCCAGTAACAAATCACCAAGAGTATCTCATCAGTAAGAACTATCAGTTTGCTTGAGGATAAACTGAAATCATCAACATGTTTGTACATATAATGAGCGTGTGTGCGCACAAACAGGGACCCCCATTAGAATGGCAACCTTTGTCAACAACATACAATTAGCCCAGATGTTCTCCTTGGCATGTAAGGGGAAAACTAATTACATCAGATATTGCTGCATGCTTGCTGTTGGCACAGATTAATGGTCATGCAATACACATTTAGAAACAGAACATTATGCAGATAATGAATTTCTGGGCAATTACTAAACATCTTGTATCTTTTTACTGAATAAATATGCAACGAGCACAGTTAATTTTAACCACCCAAGAAGCTAAATAATTATCTTATTGTTTCAAGTCTGTTATTATGCTATTATGAATCAGAATGCATAAATAAATAATCAGGCATACAGGAGAAACAATATGCCATGCTCATTCCTCTGGCAATGCTGGCGTCACTGCCCGTCAGTGGGAGGGAGTGCTGCATATGCTCAACTGCTCCGTTACACGTCCAGAGCTGGCAATTTCAGTCCTTCTGCCTAGGTTTTCTCTGGACCCCCAGCAGCAAATATCCGAGTTATTAACCAAGTTGGCAGAACACAATCTGCTGAATTAAAAGAACAAAAACCTTGCTGCTGGAAACTCAGAAAAAGAAGGGGACAAATTACAAAGACACCTATCCCCTGAAGCACATAGTTGAAACAGGCGGTGGCCCCACTTCCACCATCACCCCTCCTGAAGGCAGCGTGTGTCCACCCAGGCTCGCTGCCCACCTCCAGGCTGCCTCATGGTCCTACTAGCAAAAAAGAGTTTGTGATGCTAAGCAATCACCAGAATTTAAAATAACCCTGCAAAATGGAAGCACGCATGACAACTTAAGCACATAAAACCGCAACAGTTCTTAAGACTCTGCAGAATTTAACTATCTTGTAAACAGGTTATCTCAAAATTCACAAACAAGCTGGAAGAACAGAGAAAATACCATTTTGTCCCAATCTTCTCACCGCAAAATTCATCATATTTAAATGTGGAAAAGTCAATGGTGTCTATTTTAAGACATATTAATCCCTTATGTCCTTGAGAAAGATTCACACTGGAATTTCATTCTTGCCACTCCTCTGACAGAAAACGGACTAAAGCAGCATCTTTTATCACAACTGTCTGCAGTCTTACGTATTGTAGTGGATGTTTGAAAAAGAAAGAAAAAAAAATTGCATTTCACTTGAACCACTTAGCATGCTTCCTTCCCAGCCCATGTCAGAACGGCTACAGACTATTCCCCACCAGAGGATGCAAACACCAGACCTCAGAGTCTGTTCCCTTCTCCCTCATCTGCCAAACTCAGACAAATCAGAATTTAGCTAAGAGTGAGACGGTCTCATTTCTGCATTTTTCTCTACCAAAAGAAATAGTTTAAAGCAATTCTCTGATCTTATGCCCACGAGCACACTAACAAAAATTAGCATTTCCTAGACTTAGTGCAAACCTAATACTAACAGCTATGAAGAACCAGTGAATGTTTATGAAATTAGAATGCTCACACCAAAATATTTCCATTTCATGTACTTTTATCATAATATTTAAATAACAAAATAAACAGAAAAGCAGAGAACTCCTCAATTTCAAGCTGAACGGCAACACAACCCAGTGGCCAAGCAACAAATATCCCCAGCGGCTTGGATTAGTCTCTGAACCCATTTGCAGGTACACCTGGCACCCAGCGAAAGGTATCAGCCAGGCTCTGGTGACACGTAAGCTGAGACTTCAGACAGAGGTACCATCACCAAGAGAAAAACCCAACAAACTTCAAATCTATTGGATTTTTTTTTTTTAAGTTCAAATACTGTTACAGGTGACGTTTTAAGAGGGAGAGAGTGAAGCACTGTGCATGATTACATTAAAAAAAAGAGGAAAGTCTATAAAAAGACATTTTGATCCTTCTTCCCTCTGCCAGAAATCTGAATTAGATACCTGGTTTCACAGGAAATGCTTGACCTTTTTAATTAGCATCAGCTACTTAACACAGGAAGCAGATCGAGAATAACACTGTGTTCTTTAGACCTGTAACATATATAAGAACCTCATCGCAATTTTTGTCCACTATACCACAGTCATATCTACACGCAGTTCCTTATATCAAAACCCAGTATTTATTGTGCCTCTGAAGCAGGTTATAAGTCTCAGACTGCTGATGTACATAACCTTTGCTGACAGGAGATAGCTGCCGTATACCCATTTGCAAAGGCCTTAGTCCTTCAGCCCTTTTTTCCACGAGATTTACTTGTTATAAATTAATTACAATAGAATCTATTACTGCTAAACGTTAACAGCAAGAGATAACAGAGAACGATCAGAGCCTGTGAATTGGAAAGAACAGATAAAACCAGTACAGGTTAATAACTATCTTAAGTCACTGCTGTGCAGCTTTCTCCAATTGGCCATTTTTCTAATTTACTGTTTCATGATTCTACTTCATTTTCAAAGGTATTAGTTTTGAAGTGAGAAACACATTATTGTTAAGGAATTTTTATGACATACTAAGACATGTTTCTGTATAAGATGCACAGTCATGTATAATGACCTGTTTAGGAAAAATATGTCAGAAGTATGTTGCAGCATTGTTGTTGCAATTTGAGGTCAGAGCTGAGAATGTGCATTTGCATCCATCAGCACGATGGAAAAAGTATTGCTCCATTCAGCAGCTGACAGTGATGAAATGGAGCTTGCGGAGTTACGTACATGTTGATGATGGATGTCCAATGACCTGAACAGATTACTTTCTTGATCTTCAGTGATAACCATGTTCATGCATGAGTGACTTCAACTTTAAATAACTACTCTTTTTTTTTTTTTTTTTTAATTCCTGAAGGGCAGATAATGACACTTCCTAATTATCAAAGAAGGATACAGTATATTTTTGGAAATAATTTCTAAAACCTGTGACAACATCATTAACAGGTTATTTCATTAACAGAAATACTTTGCTTTAAAATTCTTCAAATTCAGAAGCTGTCAAACACTCAGAATGAAGAAAAAAACAAAAAGAAAGCACAGAGCAGGTTATGTATAACTATTATTAGAATTAAGCAAGGACGCAGGTTTTGGAATGATGAACAACTGTTTCATTAGCTCAGCTCTCCGGAGCTTCCAAATTCTTAAAGAGAATTTCAGTTGGGAGTGTTCACATTTTTTTCCTGAAAATATATATACACTAGCAGCTAACAAAAACCTTTCCATGTTACTTTTTCTACAGAGTTACTATTATAAGCATGAAACTCATCAACAAGTTTTATTAGAGTGTTCTTTACTTTGTGCTGTAACGAGCATTATAGTAAAAATAAAATTTTATCTGCAGACATCTTCCAATGTTGGAACATATCCCTACCTTTACTGCATACAGGCCAATCGCAAGCGGGACTTCACCAGGTAAAATTAGCTCATTGAACTGAAGGCACAATAATTATTTCAGCAACAGAGAGCTTAAACCCACGTGGAAGAACGTCCTGTGGCTCAGCTGGCATCCACAGAGCCGACAAGCCACACCGGCAGAAAAAATCCGGCCTTGGGAAATTCTCCTCCATAGACCTGACAGTATAGAGGAAAGCCAAGACTATTACTAAGCGGCATTCGCAGGTCTGAATTTGGGATTCAGATGCCAAATGAGGTGAAGTATTTAAGTGTAGTGTCTCAAGTATCATTTTAATTACTATGTCCAAAGTGGGTGCTGAAGCTCCTCGCAAACCAGTTAGTATTTTCATCGAGTAACTGTGACATATGTTAAATATTTTGTCTTGATTTTAGATATCCTGACTCACTAACAAGGACTTATTTAAGCCAGATTTTCATTTGACAGGACCTGGAGGCAGATAGGGGAAGCATGATCGATTCCCATGCTGATTTGTTATAATATACTATCATTTGGTCTTGTGAGTGAAAAGAAGTTATATATTGATCTTTTACTTGCTCTAATTGCATTACATTAAGTTGCTGGACTAAACACTTGGACACGTCCATGTATTCAATTCTCTTTAACTGGCAAGACAATGTAGCAAGACACATAATCATTTCAAAGTGGTATTGATTTTGTCAGCGTTTTGCCAAACACCTCTTTTTTTCTGCAGGTACTCCCATTAATCAACATTACAAGGTTGTCTGCAATGTCACATCACATACATCTATTTCCTTCCACTGGTCACAGCACAAAGACTACTCCTCTTCCTAATTTTAATTTAGGACTTTCTCCCTCCGAGCGTACAACACATGAATATCTGAAATGCTGTTTTAACTTATAAGTCTGTATGAGTGAGCAATCATAAACAACTGAGTCCCCCAATCCCAAAGAAGTTTACCTAACACTTTTAAAGTCCCAGGCAAAGTAGTTCTGTTAGCCTGTATTTACGTAAGGCTTAAAGGATTTCCCAGATTGTAAGTGCATGTTCTCTTAATTCTTAGAGTACATTTCCCTGGTGCTTAGTATTTATACAGTTCTGTGTACAGGCAGTATTCAACACTAATAATTTTTTAACAGGCCTTGCAGTCTATTTCACTTGCATCAGTGGTTAGCCTTTTACTGTGTTTTAGGAATTAATTACTGGGTAAATACTAAGTTTACTCTTAATTTGTTATTATTTCAAAGATTGTGTTTCTGTTATTGGAATTTCAATATACTAGTTTCTGACAGCAAAGTACTTTCACAGAGCTGGTATTTGGAGAAGAATGTCCTTGGATGGTTGCTAAGGGGTGTTTCAGAGCAATTACAGATTTTTACTGAGCAACTCCTAAGGAATACTTGTCCAAGCTACTGAAAGGCCAGTGGAGAGAATCTGTAAATAGGGTGTACTGGT